CCCCCCCCCATTGCCTAAGCATGGAATGCTGGCTGTCAGGGGGTGCACGTGCACCCGCTATGTGTTGCCACTGCTGTAGTTACTAGTAACTTGGCTTAGATTTAAGTTAGAGCATAGATGTTGGTGAAGTTTGAAGGTACTTTAAACAAATTATTTTCTACAATAGAGTATTCCACATTACTCCATAACATCTAAGTGTGTAATCACAAACTGAACTCTTCTAGTAAGGGGAGTTGCTACTATTTACTGTCCCTTAATCAGAAAAAAGATGTGCTGAAATCAGCAGAGAGAACGTGAAATAGAAAATACAAGAGAATATTGGAATTAGAGAGGGAGAATCAGAAATGCATTCAGTTTTAGTGACAAGTAAATCAAGTCAAGTCAGTCCTGAGGCTGCTGCAACCATTGGGGTACCTTAGATGCTGTAACATCCCTCCTAGGTTAGTTGAGTTGCTTTGCATTATTGGCGATTCTTTTGAGCAGAGTAGTCTGGCAGCGCCCATCTCCTCTCCAAGTAAAGATGGCCATTGGCTCGCAGGGAGCTTATCCACCCTTTGACAGGTCTTGTTTTTTGTCCTGCTGGGTGTCCACACACCATCCTCACCCAGGCTAGCCCAGGTAGGGGTGCCGGTTAGTTGCCGACAACCCAACCATGGAACAGGCTGTACTGATTTACATGGTACCATATAGCAGACAAAGAGAGGCCTGGCCTGATAAGACTGACAAGCAAGGGAGATCAATGACACTGAAAAGGATAAAAGATTATTAATGGAGTGCAGGTTGACATACTTCCCTTGATATAGTCATTTTTGAGCCTTTCATTACCTGAAATTGGAGGAAGTTCACTATAAAGTGAGAGATGGCAACAGGTGACTAGAAGAAGTGGATTGGAACATAGGCTTAAAATGAATTTTGGCTACAGGAGAGCTCTGCATACTTAAATAGTAGATGCCCGTTAAGGGTGGAAATGAATTTAATGTGGTATCTAGGGGTGGAGTTGGAAAATTGATGTTGAGAGACATAATGTTCCTAATAGGTGCTGTATTAAGGGATAGAAGCTTCACCATTTGATACTTCTATAGCTACAGTAGAATAAGTATTTTAATATAGAAAAGATGTATGTTTCTGAATAATTGGGTAACTTCTGTCTAGGAGTAAATTGTTTACAACCACTTGCCTTGTAAACCTACTTTGGGAAATTCTTCAGGTGTATATGGAAGTTTTGTTTGACTACAAATGCATTAGCAATGATTCTGCTAGTTCCCAATTGCACTCTTGTCAAAGTTACAGTTTAGCAGGGAGAAGGATGAGCCCCATTTAGAGTGAGTTAGGGGAAGGGAATATAATGAGAGCTAATTTTCTTGGGTACTTAGAACTTTTAGACAAAGATGGTTTCCTACATCTGCAGAGGGACTATTCCTGAGACCAAGATGCATAGCTTTGAGTGACAGAATGCAACCCTTGGGAAATCCAAGGATTCTTTATTTTGTATCTGTTACCCAGTACTCAAAATCATTATTCATTATTAGTCATTTTTTAATAATATTTGGTTTTATTCTTTTTGTTTTGCTCATGGGTAAATGTAGATCTTTTAGCTAAAAGGGCATGTGGACTTTGAGGAGATAAAGTTTAAACCGGGGAACTTTCTAATCTTAAAAGGAAGGAACTCGACTGACTACAGAAGGGTTGAGTCAGGAGTGACAGTAATGATCTGAGCATCAGTCAGAGGCTACAGATTTAAACTTCCCTTAACCTAAGTAGGCCTGGAAAAGATCTGTCTGGGTCAGTGTGTTCAGAGCCTGCTTGGATGACTGTAATGACTGTACAGTGTACCACAAAACCTAAAAATAAATGCAGAAACAGTTAGGTTGGATTTGGTTTAATTTCTTCTCTCCCATTTTATCGCTTTTAGTGATGTTTTTTGTGATGTGAGAATTTACCTGTAATTAAAGGATATGTTTCTGAGTGCATTGTTCACACATGCATTGAAATGTGCTTTTGGATAGAATGAGAGTGGTGGGTTCCTTTCGTAATACAAAGTATGTAGCGATTGGAAATTCTATTAAATTATGGAAAATTTAATGAAATTTTTTTGAGAGAAGATTTAGAACAACAACTTGAATGGGAGTTTCCATTCCCTTCGTGGGGAACAGGAGTGTATGAATGCAGCCATTCTGTGGCCATGAAGTTGACCAGAGAACCATGCAAGGATGCTGGCCCCAGATATGCTTCCTTCCTCCTATGTGGACAGAGAGATTTTAGATACTTTGGGGTTGCATCTGCTGCCAGATCACAAATCCATTCTGTCTCCTGTTTTGTGCAAAACAACCCCCCCCCCCCCCCAAAAAACAAAAAAAACAAACCAAAATAGTCATGCCACGTAGCTGTGCTCCTTTGAAAAGTGCAGGATAGCATAATCTAGGCCATAGGTGTCCAACCTGCATCGTGTGTGCCACAAACAGCATGGTTAGCCTCTGTGTAGCACACAGCTGATGGAGGGGACAGGCAACAGAGTAGCCTATATGGCAAGGAGCAGAAAGCAAAGCAGCAGATCAGGCAGAGAGCACAGGGTAGAGAAGTGGCTCAATGGGCAGGGGAAGGGGATTGAGGTGGCACCCAGGGAGGGCACAGGGCTTAATTTGTGGCACACCTGCCAAAAGGGTTGGTCTTTACTGACCTAGAGAGTTACAAAAGCCAGCTGGAGGGGTTTGGGTTGTAGCCGTGTTGGTCTAAGGACATAGGCAGACAAGGTTCCTTGGGTGAATTTGATATCTTTTATTAGACCAACCTAAATGGTTGGAGAATAGTTATTAAGCAAGCTTTCGGGTTCAAAAACCCTTCGTCAGGCTAAGGAAGCTTCAGCAGTTGGTGTGTGCTCTTCCTGGATGGAATGAAAAGTAAAGAAGCCAGGGGCTGGGAACTACAGACCTTAATCCCCCCGCTACCTAACTGATCTCTAGAACCCAGCAGGTTGATGAAATGGAGCTCATAGGCTCGTCTCTGGGAAGTGCTGTGTAAGTTTCCCTTGAGGATCAGGACTGAGAGATTGGAGAGAGAGTGGCCCTCCTGTGAGAAATGTGCCCCCACCAGTAATTGGGTGTTTCTGTCTTTGATGGATTTCCGGTGTACGTTCATTCTGGTGCGCAGTTGTTGTTTGGTCTCTCCTACATATCTTCCATCAGGGCATTTGGTGCATTGGATGAGATATATTACATTTCTGGAGGTGCAGCTGTAAGATCCTGGGATGCTGATGGCTCTGTTGTGGGGTGTAGTAATAGTGGGGGTGGTAGAGGCGTGTTGGTATGTTTTGCATTTCTTGTCCTGGCATGGTCTGGATCCTTTTGGTGTGTTCTGGGCTTGAGGAAGTTTGCTTCTGGTGATGAGGTTGGTGAGGTTCGGTGCTTTTCTGAAGGCTAGGATGGGTGGCTCTGGGAAGATCCTTTTAAGAATAGGGTCTCTTTCTAATATGGGTTGCAATTTTTTGAGGATTTTCCATACAGGTTCAACGGATTGGGTGATACATCATAAAAGCCAGCTGGTACACTTGACCACTAATGTGTGGACAGCTTGTGTATGGTTCTATAGTAATCTGAGTGTGCTGTAGCATGAAGTGTCAGCACTGATAATAGTCAGCTCTTGCTCAGTTGCACACTATATTGTAGATGAAAATACATCTAGCAAAACATCTTGAACAAACTTAATTACTGTCAGGGAGGAGTGGCTCCATGCTATCACTCATACCATGGCTGTTCTAGAAAATAGCCAGTGCCAAGGCATCAAAGGAAGGAGCACATAGCCATATTCAAAACTACAGCTTTTGAAAGAGATTGGTATGGGGACTGTAGTCATTGCCTGTGATTTGTTTGGAACACCATTACCACTAGCAAGCAAGACTTTTGTCTTCATTGCTGAAGTGAGATCTTTCATGCCCCTGTAAGACTAGCCTTTGGAACAGGCATTTTCCCACCATCTTCCACATCCAGAACCATTGAGGAAGGAGAAAAGTGAAAGGTCCTCCCTTTGGTACAGGATGGATGTGTTGCTTAGGAGGCTGAGAGAGTACACTGCTGCTGCAGTGGGAGAGAGAATTGAGGGCTGTTTTCTAGGTACTGATGCCCACTGATTCAGACCCTCTTTGTCACTGACCAATGAGGAAAAATCTGTGGCTAGCATTAGGTCAGCTGGCTGTGTCTGACCTATCCTGCACATCATCAAGCCAAGACAGGAGGTTCCTCTATAGTATAACTCAGGCTATACACAGACATGTACCTCCCCACAGGAAACAGGGAGTTTTAACTTATCAGATTGTATGGGTACTTTTTTTTCCACCAGAAGATCTTCTTTATAGTATTATGGGATGCCTGCAGCAGCCTGCTGGAAGACCCGAGGGCAATGGCTGGAGAATGAAAGATAGTGTTAAAGGATTTTGTTTGTATGTTGTGCATTAGTCACCTTTTGGGTTTCAGGAGGGGTACAGGGGCAAAGGGCATGATGGAAACAGCCTTTAATCCCCATTTTTTAACTTTGTATCTCCCTCCTCCCAACCCCTGTGCTTTGAGAACAGGAATACTGTACCATGTTTTGGTTTACTTATTAATTGCTGCCATCTGTGCTGCTGTGTCAGACTCGCTGATGTCAGAGGAAACTACCTTTATCCCCTTTTAATTGGGTTTTTTTCATAAGTACTATGGGAAAAGTACAGACTTCTCTTGTCACATTTGGATGGGATTGTATTCTGTCCTACAATCTGGGTCTGTGGTCTCTTGATTTCCTCCCAGCACACTGGAGGAGACAGGAATTGTCATAAGCTTGGCAGGTAACTGAATGCAGTGGCCTGGCTACCATAGTCCAAGTGTTCCCAGACAATAAATCATCCAGGGTACCCTAGTTCTATCTTCTTTTTTTTTGCCAGGATAGTTCCATTTTCAACATCTGTCCTGGGCATTGCATGCGTTTTGGTCACAGGCATTTTTTTTTGCCCGTTTCTGAAAATGAGACAAAAGCAGCGCTTTTTAACATAAGGAGTTGCCAGTTCCCCAGCATCCCATGAAGCATTGCCCTACCACCACCCCATACTCTCTCTGGTTCTCTCTCCGCCCCGCCCCGCCCCGCCCCCCCACCTTCTCCCTCCACGCTGTGCTGTGACACACAGCTAAGGCCAGAATTCAAATCCTGAATGTACTTCCTAGGGCAGTGTAATGTCTCACTTGAGATTCAGAAAATATGATCTCCCAAGCCCTCCTAGGTTAGTGGTTCTCAACATCATTGGACTTGATGGCCCCCTCTATAACTTTGGTGAATTGAGTGACACACAATTTCCAAAAATAATTTATTTACAGTAGTGCTTACCTCCTGGCAGAGGGGCTGGGTGGTGGGGTTGGGGGTTGGCCAGGCAGGGGCAAGCCTGAGCCTTGCTTGCCTGCCAATGTCCTCACACCTTGCAATACCCTTCAAAGGATCTGGCAGCTCCACAGGGTGCTGTGAGACCCTGGTTGAGAGTCACTGCCCCAGGGGATGTTGAGTGCATCTCCCCCCTCCATGTTCACTGCCATCTCACTCTTTTACTGTTCATCCCCTATTATCAGGACTATTAAAACTTGCTTTTCTCCTGCATTGCCCAATTTACCTATTTTCCCTTCCTTTTCCTGCCTTGAATGACACAGCCAAAAATGTAATTTAAAATGGCTCTTAGGCCATTCTTTTTTCTGGATTGCAAAAAATCATATTCTGTTTTAACATGTTTCGTCAGTGCTCAGTCCTTTTCCCCAGTAAGCAATAATGCAAGAAGTGTGTGATTTGAGACAGTTTTAAAAAATGCTGGGGGGGTTTCTAACGTTCTACTGCAGAAAAAGAGCCTGGCCATTCAAATGAATTGAAACTCTAGCAGCTATCTATTGTCAACATGTCAGAGAAATTTAAGATGTTCATGTGAGGTGCAACTGGTTCTGCTGGTATCTTTCAAGGCTTCTGCATATAAAACACATTTTTCAAATAGAAATCATTTATTCTTTCAAAAACGTTTGATATTTGGGACAACAATACAAACCCTGTATATGAATATTTCGTGAAGTTTGGTGCTTTTGCTCTGTAAGGTACATCTGGCAGTTAATCTGCTCAGTCCAAAAGGTTCTGGTTTGTGAGGGGGGGGTTTAAATCTGGGTGTGAATGGCTTTTTAAAGAGCACTGATAGCTTTAGGACAAAATCCTCCGTCTTCAGGGGACTTAAGACTTGTAGAGTTGTTCTTTGAAATCCATTGAGGAGTTTTTACTATTTTTCTTTCAAACTTGCTTTTGAGACCAGTATTATAACAAGTAAAATCCAAGTCAGACATATCAATAGGCTCCTTCTTTCATGATGCCATGTAAGAATAGTATACTATTTGTCTCGCTCCCAGTACTTTTTTGCAATGGTTTTGTTTGCCCATCAACCACTCAGTCTTACCAAGAGCCTTAGATTTCATGAGTTGGGTATCACTAAGCTATTATCAGGTTTGGGCAAAGCTGTCTTGTTATTCTGCAGTATTTGAGTACTGCTTTTATTTTTTCAGAGTTCAGAGATTGTCTAAATGGATTTGTGATCAATATTGTAAGCAGTAGATGATATAGTACTGTGTGACCTATAGCTGCATTCCTTTGGTCTTAGGCCATTCTGTGGCATATTTGAAAAATGCGTTCAATTAAATTTATGAAGTTACCTTACATCCCAGTTGAAGCCAAATCAAATCCTTGTTTGGGGAAGGAAACTGATATACATGGAATTAATTATTATCCAGCTTCTTGAGGCTCTACAGAGGCTACACTTGAATAATAAAGATCTAAAAATGTTTATGTTCTTATTGTGTTAGTCCATGTTGCTTTTCATGGGCAATCCCATTGGCAATTGTGAGCATCCAAGCTAGAGAGAAAGAAAAGGAACTATCCAACAGGTATTATCTGTGAAGTGTTCTCTGGAGAAGACCTGGAGCCCTGAACAAATGCTCTCTTTGTATTTGTATACATTCCGTTATATTCTAGATACTACATATGAGCTTGTATATTTTGTGATTGTGCACTTACGCATTTTGGATCCTTTTTTATCAAGAAAAGACAGCTGTGTGTATTTTCATGTTGAATTTCTGAAGACATAGTTTCATCACTTCTCTCCTTGTGCATTTAAGAGTACTTTGGGGAGTGGGGGTTCTTGTCAGTTGAGATGACAGCAGTGGTCGCAGTCCTGGATATATTGTTCCCCACATTTTGGTTTAGAACTGCATGGATGTGTGCGTTTCCAACAGTCACTGCTTATCGAGGCAAGGGATATGTCCATACATGGCACACTGCAGTCCTGGGCAGTTACTTGAGCTAGTGTGTGCATTGCAAGTGGTATAACTGTGTTTAATGCAGGGGTTTACCAAGGCTAATTAGCTGTATAGGGGAGCAGATTATACTAATCCAAACGGAACCCAATGCTGATGCATCTGCAGTAGCTTGGAGACCCAGAGTAGTTTGTTCAGACATAGCTCATGTATCTCTGCATGGTGTCCATTGTGCTGTATCTGTGGATACACCCAGCGTACTCTAGAACTTCAGTTACCTTGCTTTAATCTTCAGGTTTGTACCATCCTTTAACATTTCAACGCAGGGGTCAGCAATCTCTTACTAATGCTGGTCACAGCTTGCAATCTGGCCAGCACCATGAGCCACTGTACCCTCCAATGATGGTAAGCAGAGGCTGCAGTAAGGAAGAGAAGCCTTTCATACAGGCTGGAGCAACCGGAGTTGATAGGCAATGCCTTTAGTAAAGTATGGACTGGATTGGACCTTCACAGGCCAGATTTGGCCTGAAGGCATAGGTTGCAATCCTGTTTTAATAGATAGCAAACAAGTTGATATTGGTATTGATAGTGGCTCTTATGATGCAGGCACCTTTATAGTAATTTGACTAGCCAATTCATTTCAAATGCGCTGTGTTGCAAAATAGTCAACACGACTCTTATTACCCAGAAGGAGATGAATCTCAAATTCTTAAATCCTGCTACCTCAAGAAATAATTTATTTGGGTCCATGTGTTTAGAATCTTGAATCTTTTGGGAACTTTTTAATCTTTTGGGAATGTTATTGGTCATCCTTTGGGACATAATGACTGGTTTCAGCAGTTCCTGGCTTTGTCAGAGACTTTGATTAACTTAATAGGATAGCCAAGAAAAAGTAAAGCAAGGAAAGTCCTCAGTTTTCTATCAAGCTGTGAGCCAAAAAGTTTCAGTTGAGTGAGTTCTATAATAGGTATTAGATAGGTTTACAATGTCAGTTTATGCATTTTGACTGATTTGCATAACCGTTTCAATTGCAGTCTAATGTGCTGAAGACAATACTTTAGTGTGTAAGCCTTCTTTTTAGGCCTCTCCTATCGAGTGCATTTTATGATTTGTATAGGAACAGAGGTCTCTAATAATAAAATAGAATCCTTTTTATTCAGCCACAAAGGATTCAGTAAACATATTTGCAGATTTTTTTTCAAATAAATGTCAACATTGTAGAAATAAATATCAGCAAATTAAAAAAATGTCTATAGATTCCCGGATACAGTGGCACTAACAGGCACTGTTACAAGGGTGCACCAGCTTAAAGTACCACTTCCTTTCCACAGAACAGCTGTCTTGTGCTGCCATCTCAATTCCTCTTTGCTTTTTCTGCGTGTCATTTTTAAGGATGATTGTAAGGGTTAATAATGAGGTAAATTAAAAAAAATATATTGATTTCACTATTAATGATAGCTCTTCAATGAACAGAAATCTTCATTTGTTGTTGAAAAATGAAGGCATTTCTATCAGATGGGAAATTAACGTGGTGCTTACAACAAAAAGGCAGGTTTGAACCGTGGTAATTATTTTTAAAAAGAAAAGAAAAAACTTTTGTGCTATGCTTGTAACTGCAAAACATTATCAGAAGTTTGCATTTTAAATGTGCCTGAAAATAATGTAACATTACTTTTAAAGTAAATTAGAATTTCAGATTTAAGCAGAAATCCTAATGTTGAAAACTAGGTATCTGAAGTTCTTTTTTTTTTCTCCCTCTTGCTCTGATTTGTGTAGGTTATTTTAAGCTCTATGATAAAGGAGTGCGAACAGAAGGTGGAAAACAAGACCGTCCAAGAACCACCAGGGTAAGATTTCCATGCCTATTCTCTTGTGCTGTCAAAGCAGAAGTCTGTGGAGTATTTTCTGAGTGCTGTGCTGTTCCCTAGTCCAGCACTTGCATCTGTGAATGCTGCATTGACATGTCTTATGTTTAGTGACAGCTTTCAGGAGTTGTATCTATTTATGGTCGTTGCTATATCCAACCTGTGAATTTTCATCTGCTTGGTAGACATGAACTTTTCTCATTATACTTTGGGTGTTGCCTTACTCTCATAACAATTTGCTTTGAAACCAGTGCAATATTTAACTTGTTTATACCTCCATTTTCCCTGACTGACACCTTTTTCTTTCCCATGTTAAACAAAATAACTTCATGCAACAACATATATTTATTACTTCTTTTAAAGTAATTTTTCAGATGCTTTGAGAATCAGGCCTCAACACCTTTTGAAGCATGTTTTATTATGATGTTATAAACGCACCTGATATGGGTACTCAGACTCAGTTATGAGTGATTATAATATTGCATAATCTAGTTTAGCAAATGAACCATAATGACAACAGAAAAAAATGTGCAGGGTTAGTAGCCCAGGTTTTACAGGCACTCGAAGACTTAATGTCTATGTTCTAACCAAACTAGCCAGAAGCATGCCTAGATTTCTACGCCCTTTTTCAGTCTTAATAATGTTGTCTGTTCTAATGAATGAAAACCAAATTGATTCTCTCTAGTCATAGATTTTGTGTGTGAAGAAACTCTATCTTTAAAATGTTTAAGGAAGTAATAAAAAATTAAAACTGTTCTTTTTTTGTTTGTTTTTTTAACTTTATAATATGGCTGAAGGATCATATCTGGGGTAGCAATATCATGTTCAGTTCAGATCTGTTTGCCCCTCCACTACTTGGAGGAGCTCAGCAAACTGACAACACCAAGGGTTTAACTTAATGTAACCTTTCAGAGTTTCATTTCATTCTCTGCACTTCACCTTTTTCTTGTGCTACTTCTGCCGCTGTCTGAGGGGAGGGGAGAGGAGTAAGTGTGAAGTGGAATCATTCCCAGTGCATTAGTTCCTCAGTGAGTTTCGGTGCATTTGCTCTACATAGGGGAATAGCAGAGGATGGATGAGCAACACAAGTGGCAGCAGAGCAGGTGGAGTGGGGGATGAGGAAGGGAGAGGAAAACCGTTGCTGTTCCACTTTGACAACAATACTAAGTGTTGCCAAAAAGGAATGTGCCTCAAGCTTTCTCCTGTTTTGGGAGAATAGAGGAAAAGGAGGAAAGCAATTGGCGTAAAGCATTGGGAGGAGCAGAATGACACTTTAAAAGATTCGAAGATCAGAGAAACCCTGAGGAAGGCAGATGTAGAAAGACTGAGGAGAAAAGAATGAGAAATGGAAGATTTAATGAGCTACATTTAGAGATGATCATTATGACTTTTGGTGGAGGAGGTGGAGTCTGAGAGGAGAAGACATGGGCCTGTAAGAGATGCTACAAACAGTCATCCTTCAGTCAGTGCAACATTACAAGTGTTGGTTGTAGCACCTTTGCCAAGTGGGCTTGAGTTCACTTAAGTGAGTGTACTCTATTATGCTATCTCCCCCTACACTGTTTTCTCCTTAGCAGTTAGCCAAATGCAGGGTCTTATATCTAGCTTGAGTTAGGGAGATTTTGGGAGTCAAGTCATGCATTTCTTTGGCTCAGTGCTTTGTTGTTTGTTTGGGGTTTTGTTGGGATTTTTTGCAATGAGTGTACAACGTTTTGTTTTCCTGAACTGGCTATGTTTGTACTTTTAGAACTGAACAATAAAAAGAAATGGAGCAGTACAGTGTCCATCTAAAGACAAAGGTGTAAACTGCTGTATAGCATGTCTAAAGAAGGAAACGTGGTGCTGCAGTTTCAAATTTATGACTAAGCACAGTTTAACAAGAAGGTTCCTGTAAGGTTGCAGTTAATAAGGAGGTAACTTAGGCTGCGTACACACAAGAATCTCCTTGTAAAGAAACTTACCCAGAGCTGCATGCACAGACATTTGAATGCTGAGGCCATGAAGAGTGGAAAGCTTGAACTGTGCAGCCAAAGAGGGGGGCCTGTGCACAGGGGCAACACACAGTAGGTGCACATGCACCCCCTGAGTGTGGCGGTGCACCCTGTACAAAAAGGCGCCGCCAACATTGTTGGTGGCACCTGTGAGCGGTTGCCACTCACCACCCCACTGCCGACACCACCGGTGGTGTTTGCGGGTGGTCTGCAATCCCTGCTGGCCATCACTGACAGTGCCATTGGCGTCTAGGGGTGGTCACCAACCCCTGGTCAGTGCTCAACCCACCCACCACGACCGCCAGCAGCATCTGCAGGAGCTCCTCCGCTTACTGCCGCCGCACTCCCACCGCTACTGTGTCGTCGTCGTCGTCGTCGTGTGTGTGTATCTCCCGACCCCCAAACCCCCAGCTGCCGGTGGCACACATCATTCATCTTGGCATTCGCTGCAGGCTTCCTTAGTCTGCCCAGCAATAGATCACAATAATGCGTAGGGCAGCCCTGATTGACCCAGACTGCCCATGGTCAGCCTGTTGTTTTTCCCTGCAACATAAAGTGGAAGTTGTTAAGGGGGGTTGTTCTAGAGCAGCAGAGTCCACTGACCAGCACTGTCTCCTGGAGGTGAGGAGGAGAAGCTGGAGGACCATATTCCCTCCTGGAGGGAGCGGGGTGTGATTTAACTCTGGTGGTTCCCAGGTTGTTATTCTCCTGGGGTGGCTATTTTCTGTATACTCGTGTTTCTCCTGAGAAAACAGCAACTTTCCCAGGAGAAACTGAATGTCTATACAAGGCCTAAATTACTATAAAAGATGTTATGTCCTTAACACTCAGACTTGTAAACCATCATAAACTCTACTCATCTGCATTTGAAGATACCAACATTGAATCCAAGGGGTGATTTTTAAGTGCAGTGGTTCTCAACCTTTTTAGACTCAGCGCACCCCTCCAGAACTGCTGAATTTAGCAGCACCATGTTTGAGAATCACTGGTCTAGAGCCTCAAAGATGAGTACCTTTTTCTTCCTCCTTTCTGATGCTTCATTGGGGTCCCATTGTTTGTTTTATTTTTACCCATCTCTTTTTCTTTAGTTGTACCTGAGGGGGCAACTAAAGAAAAACAGCTGGGTAAAAATATTACCCAGCCACTGTGACTGCTCCTTTGGGGTCTGCCTGCTTCTCTGCTGCTTCTTTCCCCCCCCCCTCCCCCTTCCTATGTTGTTGTTGGCTTTTGTGTGTGTTTTTTCCTTCTTCTTGCTTGGTTTCATGTCTTTGCACCAAAAAGATGCATATAGATGAAAGTGGGGTGCATTTAAAGTGACTACACTTCATGCTGCTCGAGATACTAGCTATTATACAGGGCAGATTTTTTTCTGCAGTAAACTGCTAAATTATTTATTGTGTGTTTAGCTTTAATCTCATAAAACTGCCTGCAGTCTTGCACATCAGTCTGAATCTTCTATAAAGTAGATAAGTCAGGTAGCACAAGGCACTTGAATAAGTAGGCCTTTCCCCTCAAATAAAACAGGTTCTAAGAAAAGTTTACGTGCCTCTAGCTGGGGATGTTTGCCTTCCTGTTTGAGTAGTAAGGATTTGCTGTGTACCAGCTAGCAACTCTTTAAGTTTAATATTTGGTTGCCCCTCAGAGCTGCTTCCACCAGCCATGGGAGCATGGGAAGAGCAAAGGACAAGCTGGACTAAAAATCACGGCTCTGCAGCCCCAGGTCCACTGTCCTGCCTAGTTCAGGCATTGCCAGGGGAGGAGGGAGGACAGCAACCTGAGTGCCACTGGGGCAGGGGGAAGAGC